CATTTTTTGTTGGTGTCAACCAAAAAAAACAAGGTGCCAGTTATGGCATGTCCATTTCAAAACCTTATTGTTTTTCGGGGGGTGCCCACCCAAAAAATAGGTGCCAGTTATGGCATTGAAATTACAAAGCCTTATTATTATTTGGTGATCTTCCCAAAAAATGGTGCCAGTTATGGCATGGAATCTGCCTTATTTTTATTTGAGGGGCTTCCCAAAAAAAGGTTGCCATTTTTGGCATGGAATCTTCACCAAAAAATGTGCCAGTTATGGCATGCTTTTGCCCCTTATTTATTTTCATTTGGTGGTTTCCCCGAAAAAATGTGTGCCAGTTATGGCATGGAAACCTATTCCCTTATATTTATTTAGGGGTGGACCCATTCACCTATTTATGTTTGGGGTTTTACTCACAACAGCCACAACCAAAAACACACCTGCCCACCCACCCCTTTTTTCCAAAAAACCACAGCTGCTCTTGCTCCAGCAGCTGGAGTAAAAAATGAAGCCTTTGCAGGCCAGGGCTGCCAAGCACAGCAGCAAAAGCACCATGGCCATAGCTAGGAGCTAGAGGTGGCAGGTGCAGCAAAAGTTTGAAGTGTTTTCTGTGGTTGTTTTGTGTAAATTTATTTATGTACTTCAAGTTTGAATTTTATATGCTCTGTGCATTTGTGTTTTTGTTGTGTGTGTTGTTGCATGTGTTTGAGTGAGTGTAGCGTGTGTATGCGTATGTAGTTTTTGCTTTGGTTTTGTGTATGCTGTGCGCTGTTTCTGTGTGTGTGCATGCTGTGACATGGTCATGCGCATGTGGGTTTGAGCCACTTTGGCTGCAATGTTTTTTTCTTGACCAACCACACCATGTAGCCCTACCCCCACAGCTTCACAACCCTTTGGCAGCAGCTGCTTTGTCAGCAACCTTTGCATGCACAGCATGGTCTTTGCCATGAGTGAGCCTTTGCAGGCTGGGGGCCTGCTGGGAGCCTTTGCAGGCTGCCACAAGCTCTTGAGCAAGTTGTTCTTGAAATCCACCATGTGGGCCTTATCCAGGCCTGGTTTTTGTGCCTCATTGAAGCAAGCTTGAAGCACATGGGTTTGGTTCTCCCCTCTAGGGAGGTTCACATTCACCACACACTTTGCTTTTTCTTCTGAGCCATTTCTGGCTAAGATGTACCCCTTTTCACTGAAGCTGCCCACTTTGATCCAACCAAAATTGCAACTGGCAACCCAAGTGTTCTGGGTTGCCATGTGCACAGCCTTTGCAGGCTTGGGAGCCATTGCTGGCTTTTTTGCCGGTGCTGTCTTTGAACTGGCACTTGCAGGCCTTTTCAAAGGCTTGCTAGGCTGTCCCAACTCACATGCACCCAATGGCCCAGAAGAAGCACTGGAAGAAATTTCCTGCAAGCTGATCTGGGAAGCAGTTTCACTTTCAGCCATGCTCTGGCTGCTGTCCACAGCCTCTGCCAACATGATCTTTGGCTGTGAGTTCTCCTCTGCAATAGCCTTTGCAGGCTGGCTGGGTTGGGAAGGTTCCTTCTCAGTTGAGCCTTCTGCAGGCTGATGAGTTTTTTTGGTGAGCGTTTTTTCAGGCTTGCTGGCACTGCCTGCTTGGACACCATGGCCATCCATGGCCCTCAAAACTTGCATGACGGCCAGGTTTGTCTTCTCACCATTTTTGAGATTGGCTTTTTTCTTTTTGAGCCAAGCCCTGTATTCTGTCAATTTATTTATGATTGTGTTTTTCTCTCCACCTTTCAAATATGGATATGCTTCGCCAAAAATGAGCCTTGCATCAGGCTTGGATTTTTTTCTGCAAACCAGCATGACATAAAGCATGACATTTTCATGCAAGCCATCTCTGGCTCAGGTGGGAAATCTTGCACCTTACACTCAGGCAAGAAACCTTTGGCCATAGCAACAAGTTTTTCTACTTTGGTGCCTTTTGCAGGCATGTTTCCATGAGCCACCTCATCATCTAGCTCTGCTGCCATATTTGTTTGCTTTTTTGAGCCAAAACTGCATAGAACTCTTGACAATGATATATATATATATATCTCTCTCTCTCTATACATATATAGATGAATGCCACTATATTCAAGATTCCTAGAAGACAAAATTGGAAGTCAAAAATTTTGACTGCTAGAGTAAAAAACGTGGAAATCAAAATTTTCAACTGGCAGTCAAAAAACTTGGCTGGCAGACGTTTTTAAGTAGTAAGAAAACCTGGCTGCCAGACAAAAAAACAGGCTGCCAGCCAAAAAAAATGACTTCCAAAATTGTCTTCTAGAAGGCTAGAATCAAAAAAATTGACTGCCAGCTTGTTTTTTAGTCTTCCAGGAAGCTAAGGGAACCCCATGGACCTGACCGTTTCAGCGGGCTTCCAGCTCCATGGCGGCACCGCCGGACGTTACCTTCTAAACCCCCTAGAAAAGTATATGTAGGGCCCGCTTGAGCACCGGGCGACGCCTCGAAAGCCGCGCTCCGCCACAACAAAACTGCATGGATCTGACCGCTTCGGCGGGTTTCCAGCTCGTCACCGTCTGAACCCCCTATGGAAAAGTCTCTTTCTTACCTATAGAATTCCTATAGAAAAGTAGCTTGTAGATGCTTGTAGAACCCCGGACGAAGCGTCGAAAGTCGCGCTGCGCCACAACAAAATTTCATATCGCTTGTAGGGTCAAGTAGTTCGCTCCAGAACGACACTCTTAGTTCGCTCCAGCACGACACTTTTTCTCTGACGCATTCCCCCTGCGGTTGCCAGGGGTCGGCGGATATACAATACGCTGAACGCCATGGCACCCTCAAAATTGCACAGTTTCCCAAAAAGGCACAGACGAGTTCGCAACACCTAGCGAACCTGGTCCAACCAGCAGATCCCGAAGTCAACCGTCCCTTCACTGTAAAGGGAAAAACTTGAGAAGTTTGCTGGCTCTCTTGAGAGCTGTTTTTTGTGGAGCAAGAGTGCCTTTCTGAGCAGAGTAGTTTTGAGATTCAGGACCCTTGCGACACTTGGGGTTGCGAGCTTCGAAGGACCAGCATCGCTTTGCACGGCATCGAGTGAAGTTGCAGAGTCAGTCGGCTTGCAGGAGGAGCAGACACCCGACCTAAAAGTGTTCGGGCCTCAGTTTTCCCTGCCCTGCTTTGGCAGTCTTTGCATTCATCTCAATGTAACCTACCCATTAACTCCAACCAAATTAATAAAGCCAACTAAATTTAAAGCGCGTCAGAAAGTCACCAGTATTGATATTTAGTATGTGCCATGCTTTAAGGCAGCTTCCTTACGATCTGAGTGAAGAGGCGAAATTGTGACTCAATGTTCGACGCATTTTTTTCAGAAAAGGCACATATGCCCCAGGAGTTGCTAAGTTTTGAGCTCGCAGATGAAGATTTTTCTCTTTGTGAAGAAGAGGACGCTGGGCCAGTAGCAGGGCACCGTGGTTTATAATGTAGCGGCGTTGCAAGCATCGCCTAGCAGCAAAAAGCAACACGTCGTTGGCATTTGTAGCAAGGAAGAAGAATGGCGCCAGTACGACGAGGAGGCAGGTTCCTGCAATAATAGTCACGCAATCATTCGCGACATAGTGAGACCATACCTCACCAATGTGCCAGCAGTAACTCCACTGATGTGCTTGTGAACGCAATGTGCTTATGATTGGAGAGTTGCCCCTGCAATGCCCTAACCATCAAGCATATCTCTCTGACATAGCTTCGTGGCTAGCTTCTTACATCGATTATGCTAGCTCTCTTCGAGTCTATGAACATAGAACTGTCATGAACTGTCAAGTTCATTTTGGCAGTCTGCTGAGATATTACGCACGCTCGCAGCAGCTACGTGAGTTCTCTGTGCTTCAGCACAGTCTGGGGGGTATAGTAGGGAGCCAACATCCCGCACTTCAGGGTTTAAGAAGGAGACTGATTGTCATTCTTATGGAGGGAGTTTCCCCTTGAAACGCTCACAGGCTCAAACCCCGGGGGTGGCATGCCTGCCAGACATAGGATATAACTATGGCATGTGAACTTGGCTTGCTCCATACAATGAAAACGACGGGATCAGAAGCAAAGCCCCCCAACTTCTTCCGGGGATAAATCGCTTGAGCCATCCGGCCTCACCTCAAGACCAAGTCCTTATACACGGCGTGAAAACAAGTTTTTGCCAACGCCTCGCGAGCGCTTTTACATGCACCTCCCACTCAAAGGAAAGAATCCACAGGTGCAGGAGAAATGTGACTGCAACGGCGAGAAAACAATTGCCTGATAATTATTATGAAAACATGTGGTTTAAACACATCCGAGTTGGGGCGAACATGCATGTTTAAGATAAGCTTTTTTTGGGGTTCCAGAGCCTTAGACGGTGGTAGATGGAGAAACTACAGCCCTTGTCTTCCGCGCCCAAAAAATACAGATTCATGAAATGAGCCACAACATTCGGAGACTGCAATGCAGCGAGTCCATGTAAAGTTTCAGGCGGGAACACATAACACGCCTCAATGGCGACTTGCCGGCGACACCTGTTTCCAGCACGACAAGAAAAACGCAGCACGACCTTTTGAAGTGCTCCGTGGATCCTTCAATGAGCAAGAATATACCGGGGAGGTAGAGATATGATGAGATATGAATGTAGTACCAGTAGTACCGCGCAGGGCGGTGGCGGAAGTTTCAAAAATAGGAAACCTATAGGAGAGCTTGGTTGTTGTGAATGAGGGATGGCAGAGCGAAGCCACTGATGGACCGAAAGGTGCTTGAGGTCTCCTCTCTTTCTCTCTCTTTCTTGCCTCTTCTCTGACTATCTACCTACCTACCTATCTATGTATCTATCTATCTATCTATCTATCTATCTATTTGTCCATCTACCTATCTATCTATCTATCTATCTATCTCTATCTATCTATCTATCTATCTATCTATCTATCTATTCATCTATCTATCTATCTATCTATCTATCCATCTAGCTATCTAGCTATCTAGCTATCTATCTATCTATCTATCTCTCGATTTATCTATCTATCTTTCACTACGCATCGATCTTTCATTATCTATCTATCTACCTATCTATCTATCAATCTATCTATCTATCTATCTGTCTTTCTATCTATCTATCTATCCATCCATCTATCTATCCATCCGTCTATCTATCTACCTATCTATCTATCTATCTCTCTCTCTCTCTCTGTCCGTCTGTTTGTCTATCTATCTGTCTATCTGCAAGCTTGAAAACGAAGCTATTCTGCGAGACTTGCTCAGTTTTTGAACTTGACAACATCAAAAGCATAGCAATTCTGCGAGACTTCCTCAATGTTTGAACCTGACAACGTCAAAAACGAAGCAATTGTGCGAGACTTCTTGAATTTTTGAACTCGACAACATCAAAAACAAAGCAATTCTGCGAGACTTCCTTCAAACATGAAAAGTTGAGTGCAGCGCTGACGGCCTCGTACTCGTACCATTGCGTCTTGCGATTTTTCCAATCCATGTGTCTAAACTACAGCGCCTGCCACAAAAAAGTGATGCCAGGTCATACGAAGTGCTGCACCTGTCACGCAAAATCATCTCAGCAAACCTGAAGATCTGAGGCTCCAAAATGCAACCCCTCTCAGGAAATCACCGCCCGGACCTCCTAACATGATGAAGCCCTGAGTCTCGAAATCTAGTGATTTTAGTAGCCCGTGAATTTACTTAAATTTTGAAATTTACTAGGGAAATTTACGAGGACGGGGTAAAGTAAATTTAGCAATTTACTAGCCCTAGTCAAAGTAAATAAATTTTACTAACCAAAAGTAAATAAAAATTATGTTGAACACAAATGTGTGATAATTTTCATCGAAGGAAGTTTAGAAGTCAAACCTCCGACAATTTTGACAGATGAAAAGCAGAGCAGGGCAGAGGCAGAGAGAAGAGAACGATTAGAAGAGAGAAGAGTAGAAGAGAAAGAGTCAGAAGAAAGAAGATGCAGATGCGCGAAAAGGTAGGAAAGTCGAAAAGTAGGCTCGCTAAAGCGGCGGGTGCGGAGCCAGCTGGCCAGATGAGAGATGAAAAAGTGCATGGCGCGAAGCACGTTTGCAAGTCAAAATGTACAAAACACCAGAGGTTGGACCACTTTTGGAAGTTGCGATGTCGAAAAAGTGCACGCCGTTGTGGCGCGAAGCACATTTGGAAGTCAAAATGTACAAAACACACCATGGTGCGGACCACTTTTGGCAGTTGAGATGTCGAAAAAGTGCACGCCGTTGTGGCGCGAAGCACATGTCGAAGTCAAATTGTTAAAAACACATCCTCCTTGAAAATTCCACTACGAAAAGGTAGGGCATATCTCCTGTACCAGGCATGTTCTCTATACCAAAATGTGCCTAGTCCCCTAGGTTGTTCCCATGACTTTTTGTATCCAGTCAATTTTGGATAGTTTGCCTAGGTTGTGAAGTTGTTTTTGTAGGACTTTCAGCTCTATGTTTTCAGAGGCTTATCTTGGGATACCAGACCCCGGCTTAACCAAATTGTAGCAAGGTTGGTTCTGTTTTTGTAGGCTTCCATTTTGTACCTACCAAGTATGTGCATGCATAAAGCTGCATGGAGTGGATGTGCAGACTTTTTTTTTGTAACAGCCTGCTATGACTCACGCTACCTTGTCAAATTCTTGCACCTCACCCTTTCTA